GCATTTTTAATCCCTGCTGATTTTTGTAGGAGCAATTGGATGCCCATCTTCCTGTGTGTCTTACTGTAGCTAGTACTGCATTGCAGCGGGGAATCGGCAGTTACAAAAGATAAAGGATCCTGATCCCGTTAACAATGTTTGCATAAGCAGAAATGTAGTTTTACAAAGTAACAAAAGGTAACTACCATTTGAGAGAAAAGGTGAGTTGTACTGTCATATGATTTTAGTGAAACAAAATACACGTCTGTGATACAGCTTGTGCTGAACAGTTATGCTGAAAAGTAATGTGTTCATAAATTGTTTGGAACAAAATGAGTAGCAAAAGTGCACTGTTTGTGTGCTTTTCTTCCACTCAAATCAAGTAGCCTACATGCAAAATATTATGACAGTCCATTACTTTCCATCAAATAAAATAATAATTTAAAACTTTTTATTAATAAAAAATAATAAAAATGTAATAATAAACCCCCCTGTATTTCTCGCACCTATGTAATTTGTCAAATTGGCTTTGCATCCGCCAAGGTGAAAGCTCCAGTGAAGTCTGGGGAGCTTAGGGAAAATTTAGTCAAGCTAGAAGTAAAGTAGCATCGAACATAACTTTAGATTTAGGCAGGGTTGTGGCTTGAATGAATATGGAATGAACCTGATGAGCCACAGTGTGAACTGTTCAGGAAGAGGAGCATAGAGAAGTCAAAGGTGGTTTACTTAGGAACTTTCTGAATACAATAGCATGTTGCCTCCATTAAATTAACATTGTTCTTGTGCCATGTGGCAGCATCTTTGCCATAGAAGGTCCTGATCCACTGAATAGGTCCAAGGTCTTTTTCCATAAAGAGACCTGACGGGGAGGAAGCATGCTCCTGGTGAAAAGGCTGTTTTGTCTGTATGCTGATTTATGCTGATTGGTATATTAAAAAGCCTTGGCCAATGAAGTCAACGGCAGTAATCTGGGCAGGAACTGGATGGTAACTGCATTCAGAGCCACTGGTTAAACTGTTGTAAACTGACACGGCTGTACCCTGTGAATGTGTCCCAGAGCCATCCAAGCTGCAGTATGTTCCTGGGGCTGAATTTCCCTCCTCCTCCTTCTCCCATCCTCCACACACACACACGCACACACAAGAAAACAACCCACAAACCATGAATGAGATGTTTCTGAGAGTAAAGGCAAGGAAAAATGCATTATTTTGCCTGTGTCAGCCTCTGGACGTGTTTCCGGTGACAGCCTGTCTACCCTGTCTTTGCAGGATACCTGCTGTGTAAGAGTGGGCCCCTTGCTGTCCTGGCTCTGGGCAAGCTCAGAGTTCGTGAAAATTTGGCCTTCCACACAAACCCAATAGACACTTGATCCTATTTACAGTCCAGTTCTTTAACCAAGGAGTATTTAACCAAAATTATTTAAATATGTAATAGTTAAGGGAGGCTTGTAAGATTCTGTAAGTATTCGAACACAAACAGGCTTCTTATACTTTCAGAAGAAAGCTAAAGGAGTTGTTAGGTATTTTCTTGTAGCAGCTGAAAGTTTTGGATGGTTGGGCAGAACCCAGACCCGTCGTCTAAAAAAAGATTGCTTTTTGTTCCCAAGGTCTTGAAATTATGCTGGAACAAGAAAACGGAAATGAAATGCATAGTATTCTGAAATTAGATGAGCAGTTTAATTATAAACAAATTAGCTAGTCATTCCTTGGAAGTCTGGGCAACATGAATACGCCAGTTTGCTATGCAATAGCAGTGAGCCTTAAATTCAAAATCCTCCTACAGCAAACATCCTTTCCCCTCCAAAGGAAAGGACAGTTCTCACAAGCAAAGCAAAACACGTTTTAATGAAATGATTTTGCTGGACAGAACTATTCCATAATTACTAAGCAGATGATGTTGTGATTAGGTCTCATTATCCGGAGTGGCTGTTTCTTGAGAAACTCTCTTTATGGGTGCAGTTAGTTCATGGCATGTTGTCTTAGTGAATCACTCAGGGCTGCTAGTGCTCTATTAGAAGAAAAAGAGCTAATTCTGTTGGTCAGAAAATGAGAGAAGTAATTCAAGAACTTTCGTTTTCACTTTTCTGTACCTTCCATTTTCTTTTGCTGTTTCCAGTCACCTCTGGTACTAATACATGGTAATAAATCTGATAACATTTAATGAAACTTTAAAAGTTCTCTGTCTTTAACATTTGTCTTCACCCTGGTCAGATCTGGGTACTCATGAAGGGGAAAAGATTTTATAATAATGCAGCAGAGTTTTGCCCCTAAATATCATTTTTCTAGGAAGGAAGACAGTTATGTATGCATCCCCACATGTTGAATGAGTGTTTACATTTTGGAAAGGTCATAGAATTTGAAGCCTCAATCTGAAAGAGCATCCTCTAATCATAGGGTCTTCTCTAGGGACTTTGCTGTGACTCATTTATTGTGCTTAGAATCGGCACGGTATTGTGCTGTTGGACGGCGGTATGAATATCTAAGATGGAGAGCAAGCCGCAAGACTCGAAAGACAATAATCTTTTAGAAATGCATAGAAGCATATGGCAGATTTTCTTATCGTAGTAACTTGGTGATTTTGGCATCCCAATTCCCAGAGCTCCTCTTGGGGAATATTCACACCACCTTGTTTTAGGATTGCAACCAATATAACCATATTGCAATGCTGATCTCCATAGGCTTACTGTATAGACTGTCTGTACCCGTCTCACAGAGCGGCAGGGAGAGAGCAGCTGCTCCAGGGAGCTATTTAATGCATCTCAGCTTAGGCTTCTGTTCCATGCCACATCTTGGACTTGCCTTACTCCTTTCCTTTCCCCATCATCTGTCAAGGCAGCTGAGGACATTTTTTAATGAGGAGCCACATCTGTGAACTTGAAATGGCATACCTTGTGTTAGGTGGTAGGAACACTCCTGTGCGTTTTGGCATCTCTCTGCAATGCAACAGTTGGGAATAAGAGAAAAAAATCATAAATGAATTCATTGTAAGTAGAAGTTTCTCTGAAACTGCTAAGGACCCCATAAATTTAGTAGTTTTAGAAGAGATTAATAGGAAGAATAGGTGGGACAATGCAAGTCTAAAGATATATGAAAAATTCAGTTTTCATCACCAGAGAATGATTTATAATGTAGGTCTCTTCACTTTGCATGTGGAGAGCTGTGTTCTGTAATTTTCTAAAAGTAATTTTTCAATAATTGTCAGTGCAGTTACAAGAGAGAGGAAAATACAAATAACATGCCATCATTGTATCAAAAACCCAAAACAAACAGGAAATCTAAGTTTTCATTTTTATTATGGAATTTTATATCATTTTTACTTTTTTAAAATGTCAGCTCAAAGAAATTTTCACGTATCCAAAACGCCATAAAAAAACAATCTTGCAATAAAGTTCACTTTTTCACTTTTTCCTAATTTAGGTAAAGAAGAAAGCGTTCTTAACCCCATTTTATATATTTCTTGACTTCCTTTTTTCAGTAATGATCCTGCATCATGAAATACAGATAAAGCAGAAGGGGTAGGGTGTGTGTGTGTGTGTGTCTCTGCTTGAAGTTAATATTATCTCTGGAAGAAGGTCATGTTGGTAATATGAATTTTGTTATATTTTCCTTTTGATTCTGATTTGTTTATTCATTCTGAAACATTATCGTTCAATAGAATAAGCCATCTATATACAAAGCTAAACTTGCAATAATTTAAATTGGAGATAATTTATAGAGGAGAAAAATAATTTAAAGAGGAGAAAATCCCAATGTAATGGTCTGTAACAGGATTAAGATTTCACTGTCACTTAAGTTTTTTTACTTTCCTTTTTACATAAGATATTTGTAGTTTGGCATTTGGAATTGTAATGGTGATTTGGCAAGGAGGTTATATCCAGTTTTATATTATTTTTCATAGCATTGTTGTAGATATTTTTTACTTTAAGAAGTACGCTTTGCAATCTTGGAAGAGTGGTTGGTGCAGCAGTTGTGTGCAGTTGTGTCTTAGTCATTTGAGGAGACTGGCTAGCTTTCATCTTTTGAATTTGAGAGCAGTTAAGCTAGTTCTTAATTGATTTTGGAGGTACCACAGTTTTGGGACCAGAAGAATGTCCTAATCCCTGAATTTGCTGACAAAACACGTGTTTGGAAACCTGAACCAAGAAATCAGTTTTAGTTGCTGAAAGGGGACTTCATGGAAAACATGGAAACTCTCAAAAGTCACTTGCTTACAGAAATATGAGAGAATGATAGGAAAAAATCACAGCTTCCCTGCTTCTTAGAAGAGGGCGTTCAGGCAGTGAGAGATGAGGAGATACACAGTACCCGCTTGACAGTCCCAGCCTTTTTAGAAACTTTTTTATTTCTATCTTGCTGCAAAGAGGCTGCCAAAGATAACAGGTTTAAGAATTATCCCATCGTGAAGTGGTTATTCATTGTAATCTTCATGCCTGCAATAGTAACTCATGCTTGGCAGCAGCAGAACATGAGAAACTCAGTCCAAAGTCAATTAGCATGTTTTATTAGTATAGAATAAACTTCAGAGTTAATGGGAGTTACCTGTCATCGTTAAGAGCCTGATTTTCATCTGTGCTGGGCATCTGCACGTTCAACTGAAATTAGCGGGGTTTGGGGGCACATAATGTCTTTGCAAAAGATGTGGGCAGAGAGGGGGGTTGGAGCTCACCACGTGCTCCCTGCGTGCCTGAGCACAGCTCAGAGGCAGGGCACCTAACCCTGAGAGCGCATGGGAGCAGCTCATGCAGTCCCTTGTTCTCTCTACTCAGATGCAAAAGCATTTGCCTCTTGTTCTTCCCTGGTCTGACACTGTGTCAGTTCGGGGTCATCACAGAAAATGGATTTTGTATTGTGCTGCTGACTGAGGCCTTTCCCCCTCCTCTTTCATTCCCTCTGCCTTGTCGATTCAGAAATGTGATTTAATACGTACTTTAAAAATGCAGTGGTTTAAGTTGTAGGTTGATATGCAAATAGTTAGCAATGGTATGCTTATTGTGACATTTTATTTTCTTTTCTCTTTCCTAGTGTAAAACTCTCTCTGGCGTCTGTGATCACATTATCTCGCTCTCTTCTGATCCGCTGGTTTCCCAGTCTGCTCATCTTGAAGTGATCCAGCTTACAAATATCAAGCCAAGTGAAGGGCTGGTAAGAAGTACGCAGTTAATCAAACCCATCAACCAGGATGAGAAAGTGAAGTTTTTAAAATAAGTTGTGTATATGGAAAGGAATAGGACACTTGAGCCTTTTTTATTTTAAAGTCTGAAAATAGTTTGATTTCTCATGCTAGTTTGGTTTCTCATGCAGCTGGGCCAACAGGGAAGTATTTTGTAAGGCTGACCGATGTATGCAAATAGTTTAGTGAACAGGAAGAAATGAGCGAGAAGTTCTTGCCGTTTATACCAGCTTCTGAAAAATGGTTCAGATTGTTCTAGGATCTTGAAGTCTGAAGGGATTTAAATTACTAAGATCAACTCAACCAAGAAGTTTGCGTGGGCTTATGCACAAAACCTGTCAAATTCTGGAATATGCTTCATAGTATCTCTGGGATATAAAGCTATTTTATAAGTTATTCAAGGGCTGTATAGCACTGCTGAGAAGTAGCTTATTGAATTTTATTGCAAGAACTCTGCATGCTTAATCAGGTGCTTTTAAAGGCTCAGTGCAGCCATCCCACGTTTGTTGTTCAAGAGTTGACCACTCATCTTTTGTTTACTCAAGTATCCAACACCCACTGCATGGAATAAACCAACACTGATAACAATTACAGCTCTACAACTTTACATCACTAATAATATCTTGTCCCACAATCCTTGGAGGTAGTAGAAGGTGATCAGAATACAGTTAACCATTTTTTGCCTAATGAAATAGCTTTTGCAGCTTCTGACCAAGTTTATTCTCGTTCCATTTTCTTGATTAAGAAGGACTACTGCTGTGCTCTTTGCAGCAGGTTTTTGAAGTTGTTTGGATGGTGTAGTTTTGGAGAGTGTTTTGGTTTGTGGGTTGGTTGTTGTTGGGTTTTGGTTTGGTTTGGTTTTTTGATAAATTTGGTATGTCAAGGTATTTAGAGCAATTATACACTACATTAATTTTCCACTCTTTCGGCAAATCACAATTAAAATATGAGCAAAACCCCAAACATTTGGATGAGTAAATATTGCCCAATCCTTTGTTTTAGTCTGCTATTTGTTTTCCCTTCCTGGCCTTCTTTTTTATCTCTGAGTCCATTTCAAACTAGTCCTCCAGGATTTCAGCTTTTCACGGATTCTCTCCTCCCTCTCTTTCTCCTGTAATTTTATCTCTTTCACCAGCTCACTGCAGTCAACCTTTCAAAATCCTATCTTCTGCTGTGATGAAGAAATGTTTTTCCCCTTTGTCTCAACCAGCGTTTTTTTGGAGTTCTGTCCATTTTTATCTGAGCTCTTCCTTATTTTCCTTTGTGTCTTGTGACTGTTTTTTTTCCCCCCCCTCATTTAAGTCTTTCTGTAGGGTGGTGTCAACCCCCAGTGACTGAAAAATGTTGAGCAGTATTTTTGTAAATAAGAATGTGTTTCATGGGTCTGTTCCTGCTGGGTAGCTGATCAGATAGAGAACCTCTTTCCCCTCTGTGCCTCTGTTTTATACGCTCTGTCTGTCTTGTCTGTTTAAACTGGAAGCTCTTAAGGCAGGGTTTTTTCTTTTAATATGTATTTGTGAACCAGCTGAACTTCATGCTGACTGAGGACTACCATGTCATTGTCATAAAAATTATTATATGTATTTTTTAAAAATGGAAATACCAGCTGCGCAGTATACAAGCCTTAGAAGGATACAGTGCTATTTTGATACGGTCATTTTTTTTTCCCCTTCATCCTTGCCTGTATGCCACTATTTTGTTGCCTCTGTATTGTGCTGTGTCCTCTAGATTGTGAGCTCTCCAGAGCAGGAGCTAAGGATGACATATTTGCGCTGGGAGGGTAAATATCATACCTTTCAGTTTGTTACAGTGTCAGTCTTACTAACAGATCATCTTTGTCACGTTGCTCTTGGTGCTTTGTATGAAAGCTTTGCTTTTGGGTTGTGGGGCTTTTTTGTTTGTTTTTTAAACTAAATCTTTCAATTAAGATACAGCAAATGCATATCAGTACCGCCCTGTTGAGTGCTAAGTGTGTCAGTTTAAGAACTGATGGTGGAGCTTGGAGCTGTGAATATCCTCTGCACATCAGGAGCACTTGGATGAATGTGAAGCTTGATAACTTCTGGACCTTCTTCCAGGATTTGTGCGACGATGGAGGTGGAAAAATGGATTATTGTCAACTTTCTTGTAGATTTTTGACCTACGTGATAGTTCTGTGCTGACTATACCAATCACTAAATAAAATCTTCTATAAAGATGGAAAGACTTCAAGTAGAAGGAAAAGGACGAGGATGGCTGCTAACTGGGAAGATTTTTTTGTCACTTAGCATAAACAGAATATCTAACATGTCTCAAATTTAATATCTGAGAAGCTAAAGTAGATCAGGGAGAGAAAAAGGAAAGGAGAAGAGAAGGAAATAAGAAGTTTGGAAAACAATGCTATTTCCCTAAACTCATATGGTAACTACGAGACGGAGTTGAGAAAATGGTTGGAGTTTTTACAACTTAAAACACTTTGGAGCACTATCAGGATGTTTTTATCAGCACAAATAGTTCCTTGACTGTGTTTGACCTCTTTTTTGTGTGGAAACATAAGTATCAGTCAGAGATAAATGTAAATTGTCAGACTAATACCTTAATGCAGAAGGAAAAGGTAATTGTGTTACAGGGTTTACAATGTCATACAGATATTAAAACTAGTCAACACCTATCAGGAAAACAGACCTGGCAAGCCGAAAATGTTGTTAGGGTGTGATGTGGGGAAACTCTTGTGTACTGGGTAAAACAACGTTATGAGTGGGTGGGTTTTGGTATTGCTTTTTTTTTTCTCTTCTTTTTTTTTCTTTCCTTTATCCCTGGTTTGTTGCCCAGGTGTGGTTATGTGACTGGCTGCATACATGTGTTCTCCAGTGAGTGTTGCTGCAGGAAGAGATACAGCCTGCAGTGGTTGTGAAGTAAGGGTGAAAAGGGAGTTGTCAGAGTAGAAAATTCTTCTAAAAAGCTCTGAAATGGATTAATGTGGTCAGCTTTGCAATCACCAGCATGCTCCCATGAGTAATCACTTCACCTTTTTTTTTCCGCTTTTTTTGAGAACTTGGAAGTTGTTTTATCTGTATCATTAAGCAGAATTTAATTTTGTGTGTTTTTACACTATTGATGTTCTAGAAAGAGACAAAACTGATTAGCTTAGGTCGTAGCTTTTGCCAGGAAACAGACTTAAAAATATTACTGCTTGACTGAAAACAGTGAGTGTATTTAGTAAAGAAGCATAATACTGTATGCCTTTTGTTAGACAAAAAGCAGGTAACCAAGTTATAGCTACCACTTTTCCTTGGGAAGTTTTATCCTCCACAGACCCTTTCTATTTTTTTTTTTTAATATAGAACAAAATATCAGAGAACTGTGCCAAGGGTTAATCCTGAATTTCAATTTTTCCTGTTCATATTATCATTTTAATCCTAGCCAGTTCAGGTACTATGAACTAGCCAGCTATTCACCTAGCTTGCTAGATTCAGAAATGCAAAGGTGAATACACCATAACATGAGACTGACTGTTCTGGGTTCCTCTTTGCCTGCTGAAGCAAACACAAAATGAGTCTGTCGTGAAAAAGCATTCATAAAATACAAGTTGTAGATACAGCAGAGTGTGGCAGCTGGTTAAAGGTGCACTGCTGGCTGCCTGGCTAGAAAGTATTTTCCAGGAATCCAGTGTACTACTGTTCCTAATATTTCCCTGAGTTATTTGGCTTGAAATATTGGAGGAACTGGGAAAAAATTATGAACAGGGTTCTGAGAACTGTTTGGGGTTAAAAAGGCACGTGCAACTTTGGGGGACTCCATTAAGATGATGTCACAGTGAACGAGTAAGAATTCAGTTATGTGTGTGATAAAATGGAACTAGTATCTTCTTTTCTTTTCCATCCAGCATTGCGTAAAATATGTTAAAAGTATATCAGATTTGGTTTTCATTCTTTAAAAAATAGAAAGGAAAAAAAAAAAGAAAAAACATACAAGGTCTCTTTTCTAACCCTGAACTGAATAATATTTTGCACCAAGATAAAATGTATGGTTTGAAATTAGACTTCTACCCATAATTGATCAGGAAGGACAATTAGTGATGTAATTAAGCATGAGTTACCCGATCTTTAGTCTAGGCATAAATTTGTTCTTGATTCCTAGGATGGTTACCTTATGGTTATTTTAATCATATTAATTATCTTTCCTTTTATTTGACCTAACTGATTCTCATAGATTCATGGGGACCGTGGCGTTATCTTTGGATACCTAAGATGTGCATCTGCCAATTTGTTTCAGTACAAATGAACAGCACACGCACTAATCTCCCCTGTTTTCTTGATCACTAAAAGTACTGTTGATACTGTGCAGCCGCAAGGAGGCAGAGAGGGGAAAACTTGTAAATGTCTATAGTTTTCTTATTTCCATTCCAGATCAAACAATAAGCCCGAAACATTCTCTTCTCTGTATCATTTCCTGTATATTGTTCACTTAAGACAAGGCATGGAGGAACGTGGGTGAAAGGGTAGCTCATCTTTCTGTTGCAAAATGTTACCTCTCCCTGTTTAAAAGCTGCTTTATAAACAGAATTATGTTGGCTCTTGCAAAATTAATGTGGCATAGTACTAGTGTAACATTTATTAATTTTGCACATGTGGAATGAAAATAATCTTTTTTCTTTCGCAGCTTCCCTCTTTCCTCTCTTTCCCAATGTGTGCAAAATCTTGATCTTAGCCTTTAAAGAAAATTCTACAAAAATTCTTTCTCCTCTTTTGCTTCTTCAAAGTCTTTAAATTTCTAGAAAAGACTAGATTAGATGTGAATTGCACTCTGCCACGATAGCATACTTGGATGACCTTACTCTCCTTCAGAATAATGCTTTGCACAAAACTAAACACTGTGTAACCATTAAGCGTGAGACTTTATCCTCTGCTTTCACCCTGACGTTTTATGTTGAAAGCAGTAACTCGCTGTCAATAAAAACAAAGATGTGACTTTCTTCAGAAATTGCTCTGTGTGGGGACCTGACTCATAGTTCCTGCCACCATGAAGTCACTGTGATTTCAGCTCTTGCCATGTCACAGGGTGTATGGTCAGGTCACTTACATCCAGATCCTGAGAGGGATTTAGGCCCTGGTTTTTGTTGGTTTGGGGTAGGTATGGGTACCAAATAACAGATACCAATGTATCTCAGCCTCTTGTATGGCTCATTATCCTGTCTGTAAAATGTGTGTTTCCCTACCTCACAGGGGTGTTGTGAGGATAAATGTATAAGAAATTGCCACTCTATATTTGAGATAACTGAATTAAGCAGGAAACTACGGGCATGGACCCTATCAGTGGAAAAATTGCTGAAGGTGCATAGAGGAGCTGGAAGTTGAAGAATGATGCTAGAGGCTTCCTATCTGTGTAGTAATGAGCAGATTCTTGCTTTGTTCTCTTCTAGCTGTGACAGCCCAACATGACAACTGGATTTGATGCCATTACTGCTACATATTGTGCAGAGCAAAATAAGAGTTTAGTTTTGAGCCCCCTCTCTTGAGAAACTCGTAAAGTCCCTTTTTTTTTTACTGGGGATATCAACTACTTTGTTAAGTGGGGGGTACTTCCTTGTCCCCACTACCAAAATGTCTGTGAGTTCTGGTCCCAAATTAGATTAATCCAACCTGATATGTCTTCTTTGCCTCTTTACCATACTTAATCACCAGTGAGTGCACCCTGTTCCTCAGCTAGGAACAGACTTCTTTGTGGGACTCTGATTAAAAGGAGAAAAAGTAGGTTATGGAGATAATGTTTACTCAAGTGATCAATATTTACCTGCTTTCTATGAACCGTTTGGGGGAAAGAAGATTCCTCAGTTGTTGTTGAATGCTCAGTGTATGCCAATTAGCTCTCCTTTTTCCTTCTCTCACTGTCTTAGTGGATGCTGTTAAAATGTTTGAATTATGACTTGATGAAAAGTCTGAGACACTGTCTCAGGCTACCCATGCAGGAACTTCTGTCTGTTCATAAGCTATCCCTCTTTTTCCATATAGTTTTGAAAGAAGTGGGATAGCTAACAAAGTTGACGTTTAAGTTTTCATCGTTGAGTTTTATAGCTGACCTGTTCACTGAGATGAGTGAGGCTATTGGAAAGTCTTAGAGCCATTTTGCAGGCGCACTTCAGAGCATTGGGTATCAGTGTGAAAGTTATGTTTGCAGCATTGCCTACCAGAGACTCCGGATCTTTTAAAGTCTTCTGTAGCTTCCAAAGCAAAATGGAAGTATTGATCATCCTAAGGCAATTTGTAATTCTGTTTTTTTTGTAATCAGGTGTTGTTATATTTGTAGATGAAGGAGTATATGAAAAAAACTGGGGAGTATTTATGGAGATGACTGTGGTAAAAATTTTAGTTTGCTATTGCTAATTAGGGCCAGAATCATTTGGGCTGTTGTTCTCGAAGTGTATCAGAAAGCACTTTCCTATCCAGAGACAAATTCCTCATGGCATATATTAAAAGTACACAAATCTTAAAGAAAAAAGAAAAGAAAGAAAAAAAAAAAGGCTTTTCTTTTAGACGTATGCAAATTATGTTTGGATGGTGATGGTTTGTGAAACACTTTAAAAATTCTTTCCCATGATGTCTTTTTCTTAGGGTATGTACATTAAATCAACATATGATGGTCTCCATGTAATTACTGGAACAACAGAAAATGTAAGTATTGTTAATACTGTATGTTCAGGCCTGGAAGCCTTTTTGACCTTACCTGTGGTTTATGCTTTCCCTTTGCTATAGACTACATTTTGCTTGCAAAAGTGTGCTAGTTGGCTGTTGAGGACCTATGGCATGTTGGACAGCAGAAACGCTTGTGCTTGTTTACCTCAGAATGGAAAGAGTTGTTCCCAGTTGAGGGCCAGGGGAATCAGTTTTGATAAAAGAAAGAAAAAAAGGCTTTTCTTTTAGACGTATGCAAATTATGTTTGGATGGTGATGGTTTGTGAAACACTTTAAAAATTCTTTCCCATGATGTCTTTTTCTTAGGGTATGTACATTAAATCAACATATGATGGTCTCCATGTAATTACTGGAACAACAGAAAATGTAAGTATTGTTAATACTGTATGTTCAGGCCTGGAAGCCTTTTTGACCTTACCTGTGGTTTATGCTTTCCCTTTGCTATAGACTACATTTTGCTTGCAAAAGTGTGCTAGTTGGCTGTTGAGGACCTATGGCATGTTGGACAGCAGAAACGCTTGTGCTTGTTTACCTCAGAATGGAAAGAGTTGTTCCCAGTTGAGGGCCAGGGGAATCAGTTTTGATTTGTTCTTGCAAGACACCTAAAATGCTACAGAAGATAGGAAGTAGCTGTCTTGGAGTTACCTTGCTCTGTGAATAAAAGATAAATGTCTTTATTATGTATAGGCTGATATGCTGGAGTTTGCTGCAGTATTAGACAAACAGCTTTTATATTTTCCATCTCTCAAGCTTTATTTTGTAATAAATAAATGCATGGAAATGAGGACATCCTTTCACATTGACAAATAACCATATATTTCTGCATGAACTTCTGAGTAATGCTTATAGAAAGGAACACTTATTACCAGTGTACTAATTCTCACTGAAGGTATTAAACAGCAAGCAAAACGTAATAGACTACTTTTCAACTGCCTTTGAAATACAACCTCCTTTCCCTGTACACCATATTTAGAGAACTGGCTGTCTGTTAGGAAGTGAGCAAAATTATCATTTTGGGGGGAAAGGCTTCTATCCATAGTCTTCAATGAACATGGAACAAGCCACTAAATAACACTGAACTGTTCCATAATGGTTTAGGCAATTCCTTTCAAAGATTTTGATGGCATTTTCTTAAAATGAAGCTGTCAGAAATGTTTGTTTTACCCTGCTACTGTGTCATACTGTGGAAAGTGCAAACTACCTACATGGTATTTACAGCTGCTGCCTTCAATCTGCAGTGAGGTTCTGTTAACATCTCAATAAAATAGGAATATTATTTTCATCCCTTCATAGGAACTGCAATCTGATAGACTTTCTTCTTTCTTTTTTCTTCTGCTGCGGGCGAGATATCCATGAGTTATACCCAATAGATAATATCTGTTGTAGAACTTCTGTGAAGGCCACCTGTCTCAGAATAAGGAAAACATAAGGAATTTCAACAATGAAATCAAAATTCTAGGGAGTCAGACCTACAGCTACAGATATCATCTGTGAAATTAGCAAAACCAACCGAAAACAACAGAGCTGTAGTTGAGCTTAATCTAGAAAACATATGAAAGAAAGAGGATGGTTTTTACAGTTGAACTTCTCTCAGATTAAAAAAGGGAACCGTTTCTCTCCATGACTTAGTAATACGGGATTTAATTTCCCAGAGGCAAAGACAAAAATAAAATCTTAATGCATTCCCTCAAAACTCTTATCTTTTGTGATTCATGGATATAATTTAAAGCCACATCAGGAAGCTTCAGTCGTGATGACTTTTCTGCTTTTGTTACTGACTCTTTCACTCGCTGTAGCACCGTGGAGGTGCTCACAGCAGACCGAGGAACTGCAGTCTGCTATCTAGGGAAAAACCTGTTGTGTGTTAGAGCGTTTGTGAAATGAGTAACACCTTAGAGAAAGTAAGGTGTCTCCTGCTTTTAAACACACAGTTGCTAGCTGCTTGCTTTAACAAACAAACAAAAAAAGGTATGATTCTGATAGATGGGAGGAGAAACATCTAAGCAGCATGGCCAGAGCAAGGTCATGATGGTGCAGGTGTGATCTGATCTGTTGATGTTGACATGTTTACTATTTGTGATACAATTTAACTTCTAGGAAACAGTAAGAATCCAAATTCTCTTCCCTTTGAACAAAATTTTGTGTCCGCCTTCTTTCCAATTCTGCTCTTCCAGGTGAGATATTGGCACAACTTCTTGTCTGACACTTTCCTGAAAGATCACAGAGAAGCACTTGTCTTTTTAATAAACACAGTAGCATGGCAGTGCTAGCCGCATTAGTGTAACGTAGTAGTTTTTGTAACCACAGTTCTGTTTTTTCTGTTTGCCATTCACGGTGTTTGATGTCCAGCTACAAAGCCCATTAGAGTTTGGATCTTGCTGTTCAGCATTAGGAGTCATCTCTCCGAACACATCAGCCCTGCAGTTCAAAGCAGCTGAGCTCTGAAACTTGAACTGTGAGAGAAACGGGTTCCTCACAGGTCACTGCCCCATAAGAGCTTCTCTCTGGTGGTCCTGTAGCATTAGAGCAAGCTGAGCTTTCTGGTTCACGTCTTCTCTCTTTTGTTTGGAAGTAACAAATCTAAAGGGTGTATTGGTCCAGCAAGAGATTACAGCTTTCTTGTTGAGTAGTCCTTTTAGACCATGTTGGAGAGATTCTTTTAATTCACAAAACAAATGTATTCTTCAAATAAGGCCATTTTGTAATTTGGTTTTCCAATAGAAAATAGTATTTTCTACAGTAATAGCATGTGGTGCATCTCCAACAGGAATGTAACTGTGAAGGGGGTGCTCCCAGTATCCCCACTTCCTGTGCACTGGTTGAGTTCGCAGGTTGCTCTTAGATCTCAGGGAAGAGAGGCCTTTCAGAAGAAATAACACGAAAATCTCCACTCTGGGCATGCAACAAATGTGCTCCAGGGGGTCTAAACTGGTCTTTCAGACAGTGTGGGTATACTGGGGGAATGGGACAAAGACAACATTTAGCCTAAAGGACAAAACTAAATCTATTCTGAAGAATGAATCCTAAGCAGATTCTGAATACCTTGTATGGTATCGATGTGTGAGCCTCAGTGACAGGTACTTCCATCTGTTGTTCAACTCCCTGTTGGACCGGATTACCAGCTAATGAAGATATAGCTGTGATGTGACACACTTTGTTCCTCCTAGTAGGACCTCTTGAATGGATGTTTTGCTTAATGATCAGCATATACATCTAAAAAAAGGAGGAGTTTATCAATTCTCCTCTGTTTTCCTTAAATAGTGATGATGAAAGATACTATTTCTTTACAGCAAGGTCTGTATTCTTTACTTGGGAGGAAAAAGCGGTAAGGAACAAGAGTTGCAACCTCTTCATGGGACCGCAGCCTTGAGACTCCTGTATAAATGATTTTTACCTCACCTTGCAGTATGTTTGAGGCATAATTGCAATGAGTTTTTTTAAAGTAGACTTTTCCAGTTTGAAGATTCTCAGACCATATTTACTGGCTTGGCAAACTGCTACACAAAATACCTGTTTTGTCAAGATTTAAGCTGCAAGTGCTGAAGTCAATACAGGAGAAAGTTTGTATCGTAATACAGTCCTGTAGAGTTCAAGGGTGATGACACAAGATTCACTTGCATTGACATTTTGAAAGTCTTAGGTGTAACTACATCTAAGCTAAAATAGCAGCATTACATAGGAGGATTATAAGATTGTTAGAGGTATGAATGAGTAAGTGTGAGTAGTGAAATGGCAGGCAGAAGATAGATCGTTAGAACATAATCACCAGTGTTAAAATTTTTCCCAAAGTCACTCAGCCAACATCTTTAATGCTGAAATAGTGCCAAAAAGTCAAGGCTGCTGTTCTTCATGTAAGTAAAATTACACTTTTACCAGCCCAGCTTGATTTAGGATGTTCTGAGCAATGTCTCCTAGGACTGAGTCATGATTGACCCTTCTTTCAGCCTCATGTTGCTCTTGGATATCTTCCATTTAAATACTGTCCTTAACTTAGGTAATGAATTATGTGGAATTGTACTAGAAAGTCATGGCGTAGCTATGGGACATATATTTTGAATGGGAATGTGGTACATAGGTTATTACAAACAGTCCACATTTAAGGCCTGGAGCATATTCTCTAGACAACCTGTTACCTCACCTGAGAATGAATTTAATTTCACTCCTTTCTGTAAAATTCATAGTAGCTTTTCGGAAACCTGCTCCTGAGCAACTCGGTTTTTTTCAAACTGTCGGTCTCACCTTCTACCTTTAACTTGATTAAGTGCCTTCATAGGCTGGCAGCCACAGTATTGAGAGAAAAATCAAAGTGTTGTCACTCTATGAAAAGCTGAAGGAACTTATTTTCCTCTAAAGATAGGGGTATTCCCCTCAGAAAACGGTTGTTCTACTGTAAATATAGAAGGCAGAAGAAGGGAAAGTTTTGGGGGGATGTTGCTTTATGGGGGAGGGTTGGGTTTTTTTGCTGTGGGGTTTTTAGTTTGGATTTTTTTTTTTGTTGGGGTGTTTTTTTGAGGCAAAAGCAAAGAAGAAAGCTACTTTGCTTTTTGAAAGTGTGATCTTTGTAGGATTTTGATGCTGGTTGCATTTCTTTCACCCTAATAATGACCCAGAAACTAAGTTACCATGTAACTTATATGATCTTCCTAGCTGGTACCTAACCTAATCCTCTCTCCTTGTATACTCTTTGAGGAACAGTACTTTACTGAAGTTCTCTGCAACATATTGAAACATTGTAGAATAAAAAGGTGATGTTGTAGAATTTGTTCATGACGAATTGCCAATTAGTCTTGATAGGTTCAAAATTAAGCCAAAGTTTGTCTTTCAAGCCTTAAGAGATGTCAGGCAGATTAAAGCACTCTTGGCAGAATGAAATTTAAAAAAAATCCTTAGGACTCGGTTATCCATTAATAAAAAAATATTCATACTTTTCTTAACATTTGATTGTATTGTGTACAATAGTACAGATTATTTTTCTCCAACAACAATGAATTGATTTACTAAATATTTCTTTAATTCTTTATTCCACAGTAGAATGTCATTATCAATCTAACCTGATTTACACAACTTAGCAATCATACTGCTGAGAGAGAGATGATGACCAGTAAGAACTGTATTCTTTATCATCTCTTTTATTTTAAATTCAGTCACCTGCAGATCGGTGCAAGAAAATCCATGCTGGGGATGAAGTGATTCAAGTTAACCACCAAACTGTGGTATGTATAACTATGTTCTGTGTCAATTGGAGATAGAGGTGCCATGGCACATCAGCATGTGTAGAGAAGAAATGTGTAGAAAAATGTGTTTTTATAAATCAGTATTTATTCTAACATCTAAATTTTCCTTTTCTCTTCTGAAACCGCATAGTTCTTAAGTTCTTAAGTTAAGCCCCGATCCTCTGAGTATCACTGGAGGTATCAAGTTAGGCTAAATAGCTGTGGCTTGGGAGATATGTTAGGGTGTTTTCTGCTTACCCATGCTCTATTAATGAACAGTTGGTTTTAGTGTAGTAGAAGGTTTGGGTTGAAGGGATGCAGGGAGTTGGAACTGTTGTGCCCTTGTGGGTTTAAGATCAAGGTTACTTCCTGGAAGCTGGAAAACTTACTACTTTCCAAACCTACTGGAATGTGTAGAACATGGTTTTCGAGAACAAAAGCACGTAAAATTCCCATAGTGTGCCTAGGGTGTTTAGCTTAATTTAAATACAGATTTTTGAACTTGGAAGGTTAAGATGAAACAAATCTTTCAGATATGATAGGCAAGAAAACTAATACCATGCAAATTGCTCTTTGTGTGAACAGATGCATGTTAGTTCCTGGTGATTTTATTTAGGATTGGTGAACTGTTAAAATAAAATTACCTTTTCTAAGGTAAGGCTTGGTAAGAGAAAAGAGCAGACTGTCAGTATAGAAAGCAACTATTCTTTTTCCAAAGTATAAGGTTTCTTAAGAGTAGTGAAAGTCAATATATGGTATTAATTGCATGTGCCCTTGCAAGCAATTTAACTGACAAAAAAATACCCTAGGTCACCATTATTAATACAGCAGTTGTTTGTTAAAAGTGTGTTTTGTCATTCCCCATGGGGTTCCACTTCTAGCTTTAGGCCATTGTTCATCATGTCAGGTCCTCTGCACAAATTAGTGTAATATTTCAGTATACCCTCCAGCTAAGTTTGATATCAAATATACTGTACATACGTGGAACTTAACTGATGAGAAGCTATCTTTGGAGCTATGCAATGTAATTTGATAAACCTAAGCAGATCAGGGTGAATTTTAATACTTTTTTTGGCCATATAGATTCTTTATAAGTATTGTATCCCATGATTACTTACATGTACAGTTGATGACTAATTTCTTTATTTTTCTGCACTAAGAAAGCTTATGACATCAATTTAATATGAAAAACATTTTAGAACGTTATTGTTTTGGCTATCAAAATGTATACACATCTGAAGAAGCACATCAACAAGCATTCAGTCCTTATACTAGCTAGTTTTTCCAACAAATTCTGATGGTGCTATATAGCAAAGTTGCCTTGTCAACTTGAAGATTTCCGACCAACTAAGTATTTATTCTAGTTTTATTGGCACATCTGCACTGCATTTATTTGATGGAAAGATCAGATTCTTACTCCTAACACTGATAATAAAAACCTTTTGACAAGCCTTAAGATGAGCTTTCTTACCTAGTTGGATGGAATTTTGAATGTAGGATTTGGGTGTTTTGGCTTTTGCATCAGTGAAGCTAGGTCTTTTGAGATGTACAGAAAAAAGAGTTGATTGTAGTTCTGGGAAAAAGGACCGTAGGGAGCTAAGACAAACAATTTAATTTTCCAGCAGTAACATTTAGTGTAGAGGATATGTATAGTAATAGACTAAATCACACATTTACATATGCTCTTGCTTTGTTGTATAAACAATATAATTAAAATAATTGGCATCTTTGATATTGTATACAAGTAACCTCCTTGTATTTTAATGTTGCCTTTCCACAACGAGAGTCAGCTAGCATTCTCTTTGAAATGTGATAGCACCTCCCATGTTACCTTTACAAATGTGCACTTCATTCACTTTCCAATTTGTAGAGCCCAAATATTCGATCTTTTCTATAGGTATTGCTGCATTTTTTTATCTTTCTATTTCTTTTGGCAAGAACCTAAGTCAGTCCTTTTGTACTCTGGTCCCTGTCATAAGGAGTTTACTGTTCAGTTCTAGGAATCTGTTTTTCTGGGGAGAAGAGGTATTCTTATTTACAGTGATTCTTACTTAGATAAAGAATTCTGAAGATACTACATTTTGTCTTTTCTGTTTATTGAATTTTTTCACACTTCATATACTGCTCAGCAGTTGAAAACACAAGATCTGTTTTTCAGCTTGCTCCTTGTAACTTGTCATACATTATCACTCATATTGACTGTAGAAAGAACTATGACTAAATTTTTTAAAGATGTAACTCTAAAACTGTAGGGAAGTGTTGTTCACATGTAACTGGTGTTTAGGTGCTGTCTTGTAACTGGAGAATGAAAATCTTAAAAAAAATCTAACTTTAAATTTAAATTTATTTTAGAGTTAAAACTTTATTTCTGTATTTTCTTCAATTATTTCAGTGTATTCTGTTTGTCAAAATGAAGTTAATCTCTGGCTTTCAGTACTATATCTTTCAAAGAATGAATATAAATATGGGGAAGAGAAATTCCACACAATTATTTTAAAAATCCAACTTGTTAGCTAACACTTTTTATAGGAATCACATTTTAATAATTATGAAAAGGCTGTTCTTTCAGAAAGCCCACTGGCTTTCAAATAAGCAGCATGACAAAGTAGGAGAATAGTTAAGTGACTTATATTGAATTTTATTATACATGTCCTAATACTGGGTGTCAAATAGTTTTAAATTCTCTATTGACATCCTCTGTTTGCTTGTAGTGATGCTTAATCTTCATAGTATTTTGTTTGGCAGTGAAATCAAAGGATTTCAAGTGATTGCCCTGATCTTATGCTATGTTGATGGAAAACGTGTAACAGGATGTATTTCACTTGTTGCTGGCAGGATGTCTGGAATGTAAATATCTTCTGAATTTTTGAAATAAAAAAATAATAAGATTAAGCCTAAAGTCAGTGAAATGTTAGTGTTCAGAAAATTGTCCTTTAAATTGTGGTTTATTGAGGTTAGATAGCTATGTGAATCTTCTGTGTCAGTTTTGCCTTACAGAATAGAATTTTTTTAAAATAGTTCTGTAACTGAGGCATGACTCCCCCATTAAAACTCAAAGGTTTTAGGCACTGTCTTCCCTTAAACTTCTCTGTAAATTCCATCCTTAATCTCCTCTAAAAGCCTGTCTGTTTAAAATATTTCCAATGTAAACAAAAAAAAGTCGTTCAGGCGATTCAGAATTTGCACTGTACTGCAGTGCTTATGTTTCTGCCCATATATAATTCAAGAGTGTATTTTGCCTCAAGATAGTCCTCCTTTTAACCAACTGAGAGTGCAGGAAACGGTATTATTGCTTATATGAATTATTACTGTTCTTTCTGGTTGCATGAGTGATAAAGCTGTAGAGAAAATACTCCAAGCAGAAAACAGGATGGTATAGACTCAGGATGATGTAGGATTCTTGAATAGCAGGCTGTTCTTGTGTAATCTCCTGTGCATAGCTTCTTTATTTTGGAGGCATTTTTGGCACATTGCATATACTTGTAATAGAAGTATGATATGACTTACGGATTTAATACAAGTATGATATGACATGTGATAGACATGTGGATTCCCAAAATTTGCATTTGTTAGCTAAAACTCATCAGAACATATGTAAATATAGATGACGGAAAAAATATGTTTAATTTGGCAAAATAGGCGAATATGGTCAGTTATTGATCTGTTTCATGTAGAAGCTGGTATGTTTAACGTCTTTAACACCTATTAGTTACAGTTGAAATTGGATTTTTTGGAATCATGTAGTATGTAGATAACACCTCGCTTTTATATGGCATGTTCCTTACTGTGGAAACTCCTGTGGGCTCTTGTGGGCCAAGCCAAGTCCACAGAAGTTAGTTGCTGGACTTCTTTTTGTATTTATAATACAAAAATTTTGAGGAGATTTTGCTAAAAATCCTCTGAAACACGATGGATACATTTACAAGACAGTACCTTGCTTTTCTGCAAGGGTAGACACTTAAGAAGGGTATGATACCTTTCTAGATCCTTACCCTAACTTAATCTTTGCTTAGAAAAAGTAAGGAACAGGTTTTTAAGATTCACTGTACAATTGGTGAGAAGAGTTCAACTTCCACAGAACCTCTCAGGGTTTGTGGGGAGCTGGCAAATTCCAGCTGATAGGAAATGCTGAACTTGGGGTGCACATGAATCTCTGGACTGTATGCATCCAAAACGGAGTTTGCAGTGGATGTCTTCTTATTTTGGGAAAAACAAAACAAAACACCTATAAGTAGAAAAATGAACTCTAAAACTGTAGGGAAGTGTTGTTCACATGTAACTGTTGTTTAGGTGCTGTCTTGTAACTGGAGAATGAAAATCTTAAAAAAAATCTAACTTTAAATTTAAATTTATTTTAGAGTTAAAACTTTTTTTCTTCTGTATTTTCAATTATTTCAGTGTATTCTGTTTGTCAAAATGAAGTTAATCTCTGGCTTTCAGTACTATATCTTTCAAAGAATGAATATAAATATGGGGAAGAGAAATTCCACACAATTATTTTAAAAATCCAACTTGTTAGCTAACACTTTTTATAGGAATCACATTTTAATAATTATGAAAAGGCTGTTCTTTCAGAAAGCCCACTGGCTTTCAAATAAGCAGCATGACAAAGTAGGAGAATAGTTAAGTGACTTATATTGAATTTTATTATACATGTCCTAATACTGGGTGTCAAATAGTTTTAAATTCTCTATTGACATCCTCTGTTTGCTTGTAGTGATGCTTAATCTTCATAGTATTTTGTTTGGCAGTGAAATCAAAGGATTTCAAGTGATTGCCCTGATCTTATGCTATGTTGATGGAAAACGTGTAACAGGATGTATTTCACTTGTTGCTGGCAGGATGTCTGGAATGTAAATATCTTCTGAATTTTTGAAATAAAAAAATAATAAGATTAAGCCTAAAGTCAGTGAAATGTTAGTGTTCAGAAAATTGTCCTTTAAATTGTGGTTTATTGAGGTTAGATAGCTATGTGAATCTTCTGTGTCAGTTTTGCCTTA